ATACATATACATATACATACATATAGTTGCAGTTAAAGGGCAGGGTCCAAATGTGCACTGGGTATGGTGCTAAGAATGCAAAGGTCAATTTTGCCCAAAAGATGTTAGGGAGGACTTCACAGGAGAGGTGACTGAGCTGGCTGAGGGATGCAGCTGTAGCCACTGTTTTTCAGGTGGTTGCAGAGGGCGTTCTGGCTGGAGGCAGCAACTCAAGCCTTGGTGTGGGAGGTTGGGAATTCAGAGTGCAGAGCACAGCTGTTCACGTCAGGCAGGCTGGTAGGTGAAGGGAGGTGGTCACACAGCAGTGCTGGCTAAGCAGCCAACCCTGCAGGCCATGTTACTACGCTGAGGAGTTTAGATTTTGTGCTGAGGGCAGGGGGAGTCATGGAAAAGCTTTAACCATGGGGATAATGTGATCAAATTTTTCTTATTTTTTAAATTTTTTGGTACCGGGGATCAAACTCGGGTCCTTGCGCTTGCACAGCAGGCAGTGAAACCATTGAGCTAAATCCCCAGCCCGAAAATTTAATAATGCTGTAAAGATTGAAAATAGCTGGGCATGGTGGCACATGCCTGTAATCCCAGGACTTGGGAGGCTGAGGCAGGAGGATTGCCCTGAGTTTGAGGCCAGCCTGGGTAATGCCCTGTCTCAAAACAACCTAAAGGGCCAGGGATTTAGCTTAGTGGCACCACACCTGCCTTGCAAGTGCAAGGTCCTGAGTTTGATCCCTGGTACCAGAAAAAAAAAAACAACCCTAAAGTTCTGCCATGAGGGTATTAATGCTATTATGGTTCTGTCTTATAATAGGATGCTAAATGCTATGCACCTCCTTTCCCACTACACAAATCAACCCAGGGCTTCAGGAATGCTAGGCAAGAGCTCTACCACTGAGTAAGCCCCCAGCCCCAAGCCCTGTGCCACTGTTTTTCAAACTGAGGCAACTCTTTACTTGCTATGGGAAGATCAGAACAAATGGTGGTACAGTACATTACAGTTCGAGTGAAAAAGTAGCGGGGAAGAAAAAGCTTATTCTAGCTGTGGTGTAGAGGCTGGATTGGAGGAAAACGACATAGAGGCGGGGAGAACAGGAGGGGGCCTTACTGAGGCCACATGAGAGGTGTCCGCAGTCTGGGACAGCAGCGGTGGAAAGATGACGGTAGACGGAAGGAAGAGGCTCTGTAACCCCATTGGTCTGAGAGCTGATAGAGAAAAGGAGTCTCAGATGACAGTTTCCAGCATCCAATGGATGAGCAATTCATCAAGATAGGAAATATAGGGGAAAAGGAAGAAGAAAATGATTCTGAGTTGTTTTGTGTGACTTGTGACCAGAAGGTGCAAAATGGAGATGTCTAGGCATTTAGGGGTCGGGATCTGGAGTTAGGAGAGAAGTCTGAGTTAGAAAGGGCAATTTGTGAGCCATCGTCTCACAGGTGGCAATTGAAACCGTGGGAAGGGGCCACAGATGTAGCTCAGTGGCACCATGCCTGCCTGGCAAGCATGAGGTCCTGAGTTCGATCCCCAGGATTGAAAAAAAAGAAAGAAAATGTGGGAATAGAGGAGCTCACACAGTAAGAAACACAAAGAAAGAGAGAGAGAGAAAGAGAGGTAATGGAAAAAGAATCTGACAAGAGCCATAGACCTGCCATTGTGCAAGGCCACCACCTCAAGGCCACCCTGAGGCCACCATCCAGTGAAAAATTGAAAATAAAAAGTTACAAGAGAAAGGGTTGGGTTAATTGAACAAACTGGCTAAAGAGGCAGGGAAACAATTGAGGAATGAGCGGTAGGAGGAGCAAACTGAGAACAGGGTCTGGAGAAGTGAGAAGGTGCTGAAGGCCAGAAACCCCCTATACCCCATGACCCTGGTACTGTTTTAGATGACCTGCCCCGGGCAGAAGTCCTGGGGGCCAGCGAGGCAGCCGAAAGGCTGGGCCGGGGCTGTGTATGGGATGTGGCTGGAGAAAATGGTCATCGCTGGAGGGTGTTCCGAACAGGACAGCGGGAGCAACGCGTGGACATGACCGTCATCGAGCCCTATAAGAAAGTCCTGTCTCACGGAGGTAACAGCCAGAAGGGGTAGAAACTGGCTTTTGCTAGGTAGGGGTGAAAACAGCGCCTGAGCTGGAGACAGCTGTCTGTCACCCCCAGATCCTGCAGTGTCCCCCAGCCTGGTCCCATGCGCTGTCTGTCGGTACATATTTGCAGCCTGGTACATATTTGCGGCCTGCGTGAGGTTTTCCCTCATTGTCTCCAGGTTACCATGGTGATGGCCTCAATGCTGTCATCCTCTTTGCTTCCTGTTATTTACCCCGGAGCAGCATTCCCAACTACACCTACGTCATGGAACACTTGTTTAGGTGAGGTGGGAAGCCTGAAAGGCTACAGGAGGGGATTCAGGAGGGAAAAGTAGTAGCTAGGGGCCAGGGTTGTAGCTCAGTGGCACCGAGCCTGCCTGGCAAGTGCAAGGGCCTGAGTTCCATCCAAGAAAGAAAGAGAGAGAGAGAGAGAGAGAGAGAGAGAGAGAGAGAGAGAAAGGAAGAAAGGAAGGAAGGAAGAAAGGAAAGGAAGAGAGATAGGAAGGAAGGAAGGAAGAGCAAAGAAAGAAAGAGAGAGAGAGAGAGAGAGAGAGAGAGAGAGAGAGAGAGAGAGAGAGAGAGGGAGGGAGGGAGGAAGGAAAGGAAGAAAGAGAGAGAGAGAAAGAAAAAGAGAGAAAGAAAGAAAAAAAGAAAGAAAGGAAAGGAAGGAAGGAGAGGAAGGAAGGAAGGAAGGAAAGAAGAAAGAAAGAGAGAAAGAAAGGAAGAAAGCAAGCAAGCAAGCAAGCAAGGAAGAGCTGATTAGCAGCTACATGAATTTTCTCGGACTCCCTGGGCCCCCACACACCTTCCCTGCGATATTATCCCCCCACCCCAGGTATCTGGTGGGGACCCTGGAACTGCTGGTGGCTGAAAATTATCTGCTCGTTCACTTGAGCGGAGGCACAAGCAGGGCCCAGGTGCCGCCTCTGGGCTGGATCCGCCAGTGTTACCGCACCCTGGACCGGCGGTGAGGCCTCGCTGCAGCTCGCTTCCTTTCCTTTCCATTCTGTGCTCCGTCTTCCGGTCCTTCCCTCTTCCCGTTCGTTCGTCCCTTCACCCTCTCTCTTTCCAAGCTGCTCTTGTCTTCCGCCCTCCCCTCGCTTGAAGTCCTGAAATCGTGGTTTCTTCTGTTCTCGTTTTTATTCGGATGAGTCCGTGTTGGCGGTACTTAGTGAGTCCTGGTGGCGTGGGGGGTGGCACCTGACACATCTTAATTCTCTGTCCCCTCCTCCTTCCCCCTGCAATCGCACTTTCAAGTCTTTTTTTTTTTTTGGGTGCTGGACACCTTGTGCTTTCTGAGGCAGGCGGCAGAACCACTGAGCTAAATCCCGGCCCCCTTTCAAGTCTTTATCGTTGGCCGTCTGTAGGATGGTGGACAAGCCCCTCTGGGCCTCATGTTCTTCCCTGTAGAGTGGCAGCAAGGAGACCTCTGCCACTGAGCATCTGTGGAAAGTGGGTGCATCCACGTGATGCCCTGCAGGCACACAGAAGCTCGCTTTCTTTCTCCCAGCCTCACCGTTTCCTTCCTTCTGCGCATCTCTATTATCTTCTCTTCCTTCATCCCTGCTCTTTATGTATGTGTTTTTCTCCCACATGTCAGGGAAGAATGGAGAAGTTGGCAAAAGGAACTTATGTGGGGGTAGGGCAGGAGGGAAATGGGGTAGGAAAGACCACATGGAGGGCCGGGTGTGGTGACGCACGCCTCACCTGTAATTCTAACACTCAGGAGGCTGAGGCAGGAGGACTGCTGTGAGTTCGAGGCCAGCCTGGGCTACATAGTGAGTTCGAGGCCAGCCTGAACTAGTGGCTGTTCTCACGATGGCCTACTCTCCCCCAGGGTGTACTTGCATCTTGCTTTTTCTCTCACACAGCCCAAGTTCCCTCTGCAGAGCAGTTTCTCCCTCACTCTTCACTTTTACTTTTTCAAATAAAATTTGTCACTGCTTAAAAATAAATACATAAAATAAAATGCAAGCCAATGCCAAACAGAGGGAGCCCAAAAGGAGAGTTTTCTTAAAACGAGGAGCATGGCAGGCTGATGGAGATGGGCAGAGCTGAGATTCCAGCTTCTCAAAGGAATGGGGGTTAAATCAGTTGGATAACTGGTACAGGAATCTAGCCATTAGAGAAGCCAGGGCCACTGCAGTATAGACCGTGGCTCCACCTGATCTGCAGGCATGAAGGCAGCCCCAGGGACAGAATGATCTCATCATATTCTTCTGCAGGCTCCGGAAAAACCTACGAGCCCTGTTGGTTGTTCATGCTACATGGTATGTGAAGACGTTTCTGGCATTGCTTCGGCCCTTCATCAGGTACTGGCTCTTGAGACAAGTACTTCCTTTTCCTCATTTTCTTTCTTTTGTTAAAAAAGTGTCCTTCGATGATCTCCAGTACCAAAACCAAAAAACAAACAACAAAAACTGTCTTGTAGTTCAGGCTGGCCTTGAACTTGCAGTGTAACTCAGGCTTCCTCCTGCCTCAGCCTCCCCAGTCCTAGGATTAGAGCATTCACCAGCACACTCAGCTCCTTTTCCTCCTTTTCTTTTTTTAAACATTTTTTTCCTTTATTCTTCTTCATCTATAAAAAATTTATTAGTAATCATCAAATGGATTTCCCTCACCTTAGACTCATCAGCAATCGGAAAGCTGAGGAGAGATGTCCTCCTGGTTTGCAGCAGGCGTCATGAGTACAGCCCTGCACATGTCGCGGCCTGAGTGCCTACAAGCGTCCCCAACCTGGGACTGAAGCAGGAATTTTCCTCATTTTCAAAATGAAGATTAAGCTGGGCATGGTGGCACATGCCTATAATCCTCAGTATGCTGAGGCAGGAGGATCCCCACAAGTTCAAGGCCAGCCTGAACTACAGACATTAATTTAGTGAGGAATGAATCAATCACCAAATGAGGAATTGTATATAGAATGTGCATTACGATACTCAGAAGAAATGGTCAAAGGAAACACTAACCTACTGACTTTGTTTCTATTTGCATAACTCTTACATGCAGTACTGTAATAGATAACATAAAACTACAATACTATACTGTATAGTACCACCAGCAAAACTTACAGTACCGTATAAACAAATGGTACTATACTAAAAAAAGACAATGAGGGCCAGGTGTGGTGGCACACACCTGTAATCCCAGCATTTGGGAGGCTGAGGCAGGAGGATCACTGGGAATTCGAGGGCAGCCAGGGCTCCATGGTGAGTTCAAAACCAGCCTGAACTACATAGTGAGACCTTGTCTCAAAAATAAATAAATAAAAGGGCTGGGGGATTTAGCTCGGTTGTTCCACCGCCTGCCTTGCAAATGCAAGGTCCTGAGTTTAATCCCCATACCAAAAATAAAATAAAATAAATAAACAAATAAAAAAGACATTGAGGCTCTATAAATAAGATGTACAGAACTGTATAAAAAAAACACAACCCCGGTACCCCCCCCCCAAAAAAAGATGGTCATAAATCCAAGCAGTGAGTTGTAAGTCCAAATAGTCATTAAACAGGTAGGTCATTAAATAAGGAATCTATACATAGCATGACCCTCTCTCAAAAAAAAAAAAGATTTTAGCTGGGATTACATTTGTAACCCCAGTACTCTGGGAGGCTGAGGCAGGAGAATCTCAAATTCAATCCCAGCCTGGGCAATTTAGTGAGACCCTGTCCAAAAAAAAGAAAAAACAAAAGACATCTTAAAAAGGGATGGGGCTATAGCTCAGTGCAAAGGCCCCGGGTTCACTCCCGGTACTGGGGAAGAAAAAAATCTTGCCCCACCCGGACTCTTTCTAGCCCTAAACACTCTACTTGCTACATTTCCTTCTGTAAAGTTCCCCAGGAATGACTCTCCTCGAATGAAACTCACTGGTTTATTCTTTGCAGTTCCAAGTTCACACGGAAGATCCGATTTGTGGACAGCCTGGGGGAGTTAGGCCGGCTCATCTGCCTAGACCAACTTCACATCCCCGAAGCTGTCAGACAGTGAGTCCTACAGGAAAGCGGAAGGTTTGGGGCGGGAAGAGTAAACCAGCCCTCACCCCCTCGATTCCTTGGGGGAGATACAGGGGTGCTACAAGGTGGAGGTTCTGCTTTTGGCCCCTTTCAGAGTATCTGTGAAAACTCACACACGGGAGATGTGAAGTATGGGAACAATGAAAACAAGTCTGCATCCAAGTACAGAGGCCCAGGAATAATCACAGGGTAGAGGTTAAAGGGACCTGGAGTGGCCATAGGAATTCAGAAGGGATCTGTGGGCTGCCTTGAGGTCACACCCAGAGGGGAAGAGGGAGTTAGGGAGCAAAGGATCCTAAATGACCAGTCAAGCACCCAATCTTCTAGCTCACCCCATTCTCCCGTGCTGCCCCAAACGAGACTTCTAACCCCTCACTCCTATAGGTTGGACCGGGATCTCCATGGCTCAGGAGGGAACTAGCCCGGGATGGATCAAGGGCCTTAAAAGACAGCGATCTATGTGCATCCTAATCCCTGGGCTGTTTTGCAAACTGTCTCAGCCTCAAACCCAGCCGCCCAGCTTCACTTCGCAATGGGGTTCCTCCTCCGGGCCCTGCCTGGTGCTGCAGGGCTCTGGGTTTGGGGATGGCGGTGTCCGGCCGGGAGAGGGGGCTGTGGGGCTCGGGTTCGAATCCTGCTTTCGCTGTAGGGCCTTCCCCTCGCTTGGGCCGGGCCTCCTTCCTGTTCCTCGCTGTAGGTGGAGGGACTGTGCTCCTCCGCCCCTCGGGAATTCTGGAGAGGAGGTGAGAGCCAGGAAGGCCTAACCGACCTCACCCGGGCTCCCTGCTTCCTAGGAGCCAGGAGTCTCGCCCCCTTTTTCCTTCCAAGCTTTGAACGCCTGTACTCGGTGCACGTTACACCGTGGCGATGAATAAACCGCGAAGAGAGGCTGAGTTGTGCGCCTCGAGTCACAAAGGGCCTGGGCTCTGCGGGGCGGGGGGCGGGGGGGAGGGTCCCCAGGCTGGGGCGCGGGGTGCGCGGGAGGCGCGGGGCAGCGGCGCCTACGACCCTGCGAGTCGGCAGTGCGGAGCGGACGAAGGGAGAGGAGGCGGCAGCCAAGCCAGCAGCACCATGGTCTCCGCCGGCCGCGCGCTGCTCTGGGCCCTGCGGCTGAGTCTGGGGTCCCCGGCGGCGGCGGAGCGCCAATGCCAAGCGACCCCAGCCGGGACGCGGGCCGTCAGCCTCCTCCTCGGGGACCCGCCGTCCCCGCCGCACGAGGGTGCCCGAGCAGGACGAGAATGACGCCCTGGCTGGCCGGGCCGCCGCCGGGCTCCTGGCCACGGTGACCGGCACCAGCCGGGCCTCGGGCCGCTCTCTGGAGGAGGGGGTGGTGATCTCCGAGGCAGGGCTGGGAAGCTGCGCGGCCTCTCCGGGCGCCTCCGCGTCGGGGCGCTAAGCCTGCTGCGGACCGAGCACCGGCCTTGCACCTAAGCAGTGCACCTGCGACCGGCGCCGCGAGGAGGGTCCGCTGAACTCCAGCCCCCGCGCCGACGCGGGCTGCAGCTCCCCGCCCACTGCACCTCCACCACCGCCTCTCCCCTGCACCCCCGTGCACCTGTGGCGCAGGCCCAGCCCCAGCCCCGCGCTGGCCTTCTGGAAACTGGTGAGGATGGACCTGGAGGCCGTCTGGAACCGCCTGTCTTCGGTGTACACAGAAACGCGGCCGGTAAGTGCCTCGCCCAGGAGCCGGGTCCTCCCGAGGCCGCTGAGGAGCCCTGACCCCAAGGCCTGGGCGAAGCCGGCCAGTGTGCTTCCTCATCTGCTTTCTCCCCTCTTTGTTTTCATGAACTGTTTGTTCACTTTTTTGTTATTTATTTACTTATTTTTGGTACCGGCGATTGAGCCCAGAACACCCACACTAAGGTACAACCCCAGTCTTTTATTTTTGAGACAGGGCCTCACTAAGTTGCTCAGGCTGGGCTTCACCTTACAGGGCGGAGGCACCCAATTTTGTTACTGATTCATTAGTCATTCCTTACTGTTGCCCATTGACCCTACCTATTACTTTTGTTTTCTTTTTGAAATGGGGTCTCCAGCTGACCTGAAATCCTGGGTTCAAGCAATCCTTCTGCCTTGGCCTCCTGGAGTACTTTAGCTGAGATCACAGGTGTACGTCACCACCCCCAGCTGCCACCTATTTGGTCAATAATACGTCTTACTGGTCAGTGGATAATTATGGACCAGTTAGGATTGCAGAGACAGCCAGGTGTGGTGGCACACACCTATAGTCCCACAGTCCCAGCACTCGGGAGGCTGAGGCATGAGGATCACCGTGAGTTTGAGGCTAGCCAGGGCTCCATAGTGAGTTCAAAGCCAGCCTGAATTGCATAGTGAGACCCTGTCTCTCTCTCCCTCCCTCTCTCTCTCTCTCTCTCTCTCACACACACACACACACACACACATACATACACACAACTGTAGACAAAGTATTCTTATTGAACAGATGATTAAGATGGTGTATATTAAGTTTGATCTAATTAATAGTTGAATTTTAACAATAGGTGATATTTGACCTTCTTACTATGTGGACTTTACCTGAACCATTGCTCACAACCTTGTAAGGTGGTGTCCCCACTTTACAAACAGGTGTATAAAACTAGTATGTGGCAGGGCTTGGGCTTTAGCTCAGCGGTACCTGTGCCTGCCTCACAAGTGAAAGGTCCTGAGTTTGATCCCCAGCACCAAAAAAAAAAAACAAAAACCAAACCAACAAACGAGAAAACCCAAAGCTAGTATGTGGCAGAGTCACAAGTAAGATCAAAGTTGGTGTCCAACACCAAGGCCCATGTTTGTAACTACCAAAGAGCTGTCCTGGAATTTTCCCCACAATTGAATTCTCAAGAAGAGCCAGGATGGTGGCTCTTAGCTGTAATCCCAGCACTCTCAGAGACCCAGGCAGAAGGATCACAAGTTCACACCCAGCTTGGGCAACTTGGCGATTTAGGGGTATAGCTCAATGGGAAGGGCCTGGGGTCAGTCCCCAGTACTGAAAGAAAAAGCAACACAAAGCAGGAAAAAACTTGAGGACAGTTCTCTGCTTGACCAAGTTACCAAAGGGTTCTGATTGGCCTGATAGCGTCTCAGTTGCTAGGGCAAACAGGGAGGGGAAAGGCAATAAAGGGTCATTTTGCTGGTTTTTGTCTTTTTTCTTGTGTTCTCCCTCACCCCATCCCAGTAGTGGGGATTGTACCTAGGGCCCTCATACTTAGTTATATCCCCACCTCTTTATTTTTTGAGACAGGTTCTTGCTCAAACTTGGGATCTCCCTGCCTCAGCCTCTCAGAGTATTAGAATTACAGATGTGCACCACACCTGGCTACCTGTTCACCACCACACCCCGTCCCAATACTATTTTGAATATTTAAAAGCACATATGAAGGTCTGGGGATGTTGCTCAGTGGCATTGTGCCTACCTGGCAAGCCCAAGGTCCTGAGTTTGATCCCCGGTACTGGGGAGGAAAAATCATATAAAAAGGGAAGGCAGGAGGGTTGAGGGACTGAGGGGTAGGGCGGTAGGGCAAGGAAAGGGTGAGGATGTGGATATGGATTAATTGCCCCTTCTTTTTCCTTGCCCAGACACATGTAAGCCAGAGGCAATGGCCACTTCATCCATAAGAGGCCGTGTCAGCATCTCAACCTCTCCTCTCAATCCCAGCACCCACTAGTTATTTTTAGTACGGAAAAATAAAATTGAACAAAACATTGTTGGCCTTGTCTTTTTATAGAAGGATCTGAGGAAAACCATAAATCTCAACCCAAAAATTGTGTTTCATAGCCAGCAGCCTCGTCTTACTCCCCTACTCTGTATCCCCAGGATAAAATACTGACATTGTTCATCTCATCTGCAACACTTTCATGGGTTTTTAGAGGGCCTGGGGATTGAACCCAGGGACATTCTACCACTGAGCTACAGACCCAGTCCTTCTAGTTAGAGATGAAGTTTAAATTGCCCTGGTTGGCCTTGAACTTGTAATCTTCCTGCTTCAGCCTCCTAAGTAGTTGAGATTACAAGTATGTACCACCTCTCCCAGCTAAACAAATACTATATTTCTGTATTTAAAAAAAGATTTTTTGAGCGGATGTGGTGATACATGCCTGTAATCCCAGCACACAGGAGGCTGAGGCTGGAGGATCATCACAAGTTTTTTTTTTTTTTTGGTACCGGGGACCGAACTCAGGATCTTGTACTTTCGAGGCAGGTGCTGGAACCACTGAGCTAAATCCCAGGCCCTAACCACATGTTTTAAGGCCAGCCTGTGCTACACAGTGAGTTCATATTAAGTCAGCCTGAACTACAAAGTGAGACCCTGTCTCAAAAAACCAAAAACTACTTTTTTTTTTGGTACCGGGGATTGAACTTGGGTCCTTGCACTTTCAAGGCAGGCAGTGGAACCACTGAGCCCACAAAAATTTTTTTTGAAACAGGGTCTCGCTATGTAGTTCAGGCTTCTTGAAGTCACTATGTGACACAGGCTGGCCTCAAACTCACAGTGATCTTCCTGGCTCAGCCTCCCACACACTGGGATTATAGCTGTGTGCCACCATCCAAGTATTTCTTCAGATTTGAAAATCTGAAATGCCGAGAAAAAGGTATATTGGTGGACAAGGTGGCTAAGCCCATAATCCTAGCACTCTGGGAGGCTGAGGCAGGAGGCTTACAAGTTTGAGTCTGGTCCAGCAACTTAGTGAGACCATCTCAAAATCTAAAAAGAGCTGGATCCCATTAACCCTTTCCATCCCTAGTCTGACCCTCAGGTAGCTCTTGCAAGCCCTGGGCTCAATCCCCAGCACCATACATACACAAAACAACAAAAAACAAGAATGAACAGAAAAGGGTATAGGAAGGATCTGAACCTTTGGAAGTGTTTCCTCTTTGTCTGAATGCTTGGCCCTCTTCTGAAAAGGCAAAATGTTGGTACAAAATCCATCTTGGGCTGGGGATTTAGCTTAGTGGCACCACGCCTGCCTTGAAATCGCAAGGTCCTGAGTTCAATCCCTGGTACCAAAAAAAAAAATTCCATCAGCCTCTTTCCTTTTTGCTGCATGCAGAATTCACTCACTGGTTCCAGTACTAGACCTAACACTTGCCAAACATGCATCTTACACTATGTGGCCGAATTTCCACAGTAGCGATTCATGGGCGAGGGCCAGCCACTTTCACGCTGTTTTGATCAGCTGTATCCACCCTTTAATCCAGTGGACACTTGAAATGATTACTCTGGAACTCATTTGTTTACATTTTTATTTGAAAAATGCATTTAAAAGTCCAACAAATTCTTAATATAAATTATGACTCTCAACCCCATTCCCATCACTTTGTCACTAGTGATGGAGGTACACGCGTTGGAGAAGGCGGCTTGAGGCAAGAGCACCAGACTGTCCAGCGAATAGCTACTAGGTGAGGCTAGAGACAGGAGTTCCCATCTTTCCACCTTACCTGGGCCCCCTTTCACCACCCCTGGTCTGACCCAGGCAACAGGTGGGGCACTCTCACCAGAGCAACTAGCTTGGCTGGAACTGAGAGGAGCTGGGAATGCACCTCTATCACCAGTCTTAGGCCCTGAAAAACTGTAAAGTACACTGAAATTTGAAAATTTCCTCACTGTAGACGGGGGCAAAACGAATGCTGGATTCAACAGAGTGAATGCGATTCCACAGTTCTGACCCTGCTACAGAGCCAGAGACCCCCCCGCACCAGCCCAACTCAGAGCAGGCAGGAGCTCATCTGTCTAACTGCCCTGCAAAGAAAGAGCCAGAACGAAAAACACCTGAGAACACAAAGTGCCTAAAGACCCTGTCCTCCAGTTTTCCGGTCTGAAGCACACTGCAGCCAGGTGGGGTGGGGTCCTGGTCTTCAGACAAAACTCCCTGAGTCTTATTCGTGTCTGGTTTGGGGGCTGGGGCACAGTGACAGAGCTTAGGGCACAGGAGGGTACATAACGAGGGCCCCTCCCGCTTCTCTCTCCCTCCCCAAGCCCCACACAGCCCCTTCCCATCTCCACACTGCAAGGACAGAGAAGCACAGTGCTCATCCATGTGGAGACCCCAAGCCACGCAGCCCAAGGTATAAAGATTATGTGGCAATCTTTTGAGCCTACTCTACAAGGGTCCTAGTCCACCCAAGGCTCAGGCTCACAAGGAACAACCAGATGAGGATAGATGGGGAGTGAAAACCACTTCAAAGTGCCTTGACTTGAGGCTGTGATTCCTGGCCTCAGGCAGTTGTGACCCCAGGAGCCTTCAGTTTCTGAAGATATTTTTGGTTGCCAAAACGAATGTAGGGCAGAGATGCTGCTAAACATCTTCTGATGACAAAACAGCCTTCCGGTGTCTAGAAGGTCAAACGCACCTCAAGAGCAGCCTTGTTCTGCCGCTCCCCGACCCCCAGCTACAGTGAGCCCCTTGCACGCAGATGTCGGCTTTCACCATTCCCTCCCCGTGTCAGAAAGTGCAACTGGAGCCCAGACTCCTATCTTCTGCTTTCTGGCTTTCTCTTCAGACCCCTCTTCCTTCTCTCACCTGGGCCAGCAGGGAGGTTGGCAGAGGGTGGGCAGGGTCCCCCAGGACTTAAATGGAATGTTGACAGATCCGCTGCATAACTTACTCAATGGGAAACAGTAAGGTTCCTAACAGGGACAGGGGCAAGGAGGGGAAGAGCGGGCTAGGGGCAATTGAGTCATCTTAAATTAAATTTTTAATTAAAAGAAAAAAGGACTGCTGCTGGGGAGCTAGTAGTGCTACAGAAAGAGGATTAGAGAAGACCTGGTGTCAGCAGAGTGAGGGACACTGAGGGGGTAGTGCTTAAGGGCTGAAGTCTAAAGACAAAGAGCAGCCTGGGCAGTGGTTGCCCTCCCAGCCCCTGCTGACATCTGCTGTAGATTATCGCAGGGGAAAGAGAAGGGCAGGGAGGTAGAGAGCTTCTCAGGAAAGCTGGCTTCAGCTTTGGCAATCTCACCTACCTACCCCACTTAGGGAGTTCCAGGCTAAGAGTTTAAAGAGCTGGCACCCAGACCGTCATTCAGGAGGAGAGAACTCTGTGCTCAGATCCTGGGTTCCAGGGCTTCCGCTGAGCTCCTCTGGCCTGCCAGGGGTCACTTGGTCAGTCCAGCTGCCTTGACCCTTCTCCAGGAGGGGCGGCAGCCAGAGAGAGGAGGAGGAGTCCAGCCCCCACGCCTCAGAGGCACTGTCAGGCAGAGGGAAGGGAGGGACCCTTGGGTTCTAGAAGTCCTAGCAGGGAGCAAGTGAGGGCAGCATTTCTTCTGGGCTGGACAGAGTTGGAACTTGAAGACAGCAGAACCTGAATTTAAGAATGGAGACAAAGAAGATTTGCCTTAAAAAGAAAACAAAAACCCAAAAACAAAACGCCAAGACTTTAGGGAAAAGCCACACTACACAATCCAGACTTTCCCTCTATTTCTGTCTAGACAGCCACCCCTCTGCCTTTCTGATTGAGCCCACATACTTTTCTTGTTTCATTTTTGAGACAAGAGTCTCCATATATAGTCCAGACTGGCCTTGAACTCATGGTGTACCCCAGGCTGGCCTTGAACTCATAGTGATCCTCCTGCCTCAGCCTCCGGAGTGCTGGGATGACAGGTGTACACCACGCCTGGCTGAAACCTACATTCTTGTGCCTCCCATTCCACCCCCTCCCTCCATTTCCCATTCTGGCATCAGAGGACCAGGGTTCTGAAGAGGACGATCAGGATGAACTGGCGTGGGCATGAGTTCTTGGGTGGGTTCCTCTAGTCACTCACCATTTATTTCTATGGGAGCTATAAGCCCCTTGAATTGTTCCAAGGCCTGTCCCGGTTTCCCTTGGACCTCATCTGCTCCTGAACTGCACCTGTCTGTTGAAAAGCATATGTGAGACACTCTCGTTTGGTAGCACATCTCTGTAATCCTAGCACTCTGGGAGGCAGAGGCAGGAGGATCAGAATTTGAGCCTAGCCCCGGCACCTTAGCAATTCAGACGCTGTCTCAAAAAAACAAGCCTCCTTCATGTTGGCTTTTGTGAAGATGAGTTAAAAGGGGTCTTTTACTAATAAGAGCCCTACAGGGCCGGGGATCTAGCTCAGTGGTTTCGCTGCATGCTGAGCAAGCGCAAGGACCCAAGTTCGATCCCCGGTACCAAAAAAAAAAAAGAGCCCTACAAAAATTTTGCTGTATGTGAATTTCATAATCAGTAGGAAGGCTCCATCACTAGCTCCAGACCTGTTTTCCTTATCGAAAGAGCAGAAATGCACTACATTTAGGCCAGAGGTGCTCCCCCTTTTCATGTCCAACACTCCCAGCCACAGCATGACTTACTATGGCTCTGACTCAGCAGTTCTGAGTTTTGTGTTTTAGACAGGGTCACTTTGTGTAGCCACAGTTGCCCTCCTGCCTCAGCCTGAGTGTTAGAACTATAGACAGGCACCACCACCTCTGCCAGCAGTTTGGGTTTCTTTTTCTTGGTACTGGGGATAGAAGTGGGGACCTTGCGCTTTCGAGGCAGGTGGCGGCACCACTGAGCTAAATCCCTGGCCCAGCAGTTTAGTTTTTTGGAGAGTCTTGTGATGTAGCCCAGGCTAGTCTCAAACTTGCAGTGATCCTCCTGACTCAGCCTCCCAAGTGCTGGGATTACAAGAGTCCATGCCCAGCTTGGGCAGCAGTTCTTAATGAGAAGAGTCGTGGTGTTGGAAAGAACCCTCCAATTACTAAGACATATATATTCCCCACCCCAATGAAGACCAATATGCTAACTGCAAAGATAAGGGGCCCTAGGCCCAGAGATCTGAAATACCAGGTCTCAGGTTTGCACAATTGGTGAACAGGACTAGAACCCCTGATTCTTGCTTCTTCAGGTTTCTGTTATATTCCTCAACTGAACTTTCAGCGGGGGTTACAGTTCCAGGCCATACCCCCACATCAGCCCATCCCCGGCCCCTCGTTACCATGGCAAGTCCATCTCCAGCTCCCATCTCCCCAGAGCCAATGTGGGTCAGGTGGACAAAATTCATCGGTTCCCCAATCATGGTCCGGTCAATCCGCCTTCTCTTCTTCTTCTGCTTTGAGAAGATAAAGTCATGTCTGGAGGCCCTCCTCCAATCACAGTAGAGGAAGAGGAAAGAGTCTTGGAAACCGCTAAGGAAAGGAAAGAGCTCAGGGCCTGGCGGGAAGAGGGGATGTGGCTCTACAACAGGGAAACCACAAGGACCCAGTCACACTGGGGAGGGCAGCGGCCTGCGGGGTGAATGCTGCACAAAGAGGCAAAGTCACCTCTGGCTGATGAGGAAACAATGGGGAAAACTGACAGGTGCTAAGCCTGTCTTATGACCCCTGCCCCACTCAAAATGGACGGGATCAGGAGGTAAACGCTCAGCCTATTCACTGCTTCCATCTCCCAGGCCCTCTTATTGCAGGTACACATCTGCCTGGCAATATGGAACCTTTCCTAATGGGAGGGAGGCAGTGTCCTTTTTCAAAGGAAGATCACAGAAGGTGCATCTACTTCACAGCAGACAGGAATTGTTTCCAGGGCGGTGGGGGGAGACTCACCGGCTGGGGTTTCTCGACCACACAGCAGCCCAGTTTGTGCCAAAATTCACTCATAATCCTTGAAGGTGCCAGCTTCAATCCTCTGCCAGAGGCCCCAGAGGGCTCTTGCTCTGGTGCTTTGATGGCCCCTCCTCACACGCCCTGGTGTCAACAGCACACGCGGGCCACTCAGCTGGCTGGGTTTAGAGAAGCGGAACCCCAGGGACCCTTAGCTGAGCAGCGAGGTCGGCATCAAAGAGACTAACAGGGCTGGAGAGAGGTGGCCGAGCACAAGGTTATGCCTTCCTCGGATCCAGAACCCTGAATTCAGAAAGCAAAGAGGAAGGTTAATGAGAACATACACACACACCCCAACCTTCAAGAGGCCTCCTGATGAGCCCTGTTTTTCCAGTCCTCTCCGAGATGCCCTAATCCTGTACCTCAACAACAATCTTTCCCAAACACAGGAACCTCTCAGCTTGGCTCTCAGGAAGTAAGAGAACCAAAAGACCAACAGGGGGTAAGGGGCTAGTACCAAACGAGAGGAAGGGGGCTAAGAGGACTTAGGGTGAGGAGATGCAGAAGCCCAAAAGAGAGTGACAGAAAGGAACAAAGGGGATGCAACAAGCTCCCTGGGTTTAGGGTAGAAGGGGAGGGCGTTTAAGTGACTCTAAAGAGGAAATAGTGGTTTTTGGTTCTCACAAACAAGGCCTCCACCCTGCTCCTCCCTTTTCCTTACCTTGCCCTGAACATTTAAATTTTCTTTAAGAACAAGAGCCCTTGACCACCAAGGTCCTTGGAGACTAGCTGTAACAGACTGTACCTCAAGGAAGACTCTCTACAGTGAGAAATCTTTCCCTTTCTCAATCTGTTGCCCTCTTTCCTCCTCAGTCCCCTCAACTGAGATCCAACCCCTCCCTGAAACCATTTAGCGGCTCCTTGATTACTTGACCTTGAGACCCTTCCTGAAGGTTCTGCCCAGTCTAGCACAGTCTAGTGTCCTGTGCCAATGCCCCCTCCCTCGTGTGTTCCCATATTTGCACATACACAGCATGGCCACATCTCCCTGTCTTGTACAGACATCTGTGCACATGCCAAGAGTCTTTCTGTCCCATGAGGAATCATTTTCCAGCCTCCCCACCCTATTCACAGGTCCTGTCGTGCAGCTCTGCTCCGCCTCACAGGCCGTAGGGGCCAGGGCCTTCCCTCCTCCCCTCATGCTTCGACCTGTTCTCTTCCCTTCTCAACACTTCCATCCCCAGGCTGCATCAGCCAACCAGTAGTGTAACTGTCCAAGGAAGAACTTTCTTCCCTTCTCACTACTGCCAGGCAGGGTGGGCCCATCTAGACGTCCCTATCCTACATTTCCCAGTTCTGAGCTGCAGACCACCTCAAAGATACCAACAGGGCAGCTTCGAGAATATCACACAGGAACATCCAGAGGAATCACCTTCCTTCTAGGCCTGGACCCTGGCACCCTAGACTGACCAAAACACTGTGTTTTGTTGTGTTCTTAGCAGTCTTGAGATGAGATCACACAAACACAGCTTCTAGGGAAGACTGTGGCCTTTCTCTCACTTCCCTTCCCTCCCTTGGAAGGGCGGAGTAATCAGGCCGGAAGTCAGAACACAGCTGTCCAGAGAGGGGAGCTGTGGCCAGTGGGGAAGTTAAGTCAATCAGTCACAGGGTTTGTCGAGAAGGTAGTGGCCGAGGCAGGTGGGAGTGGTTGGAGGGAAACGGAGAAAACAATGAAGAATCAGAGGAAACCCCTGACACCACCAGACAATCTGTCCTGAGTGGACAGTATATTCCCCCTCTGCTCAAAGCTGAGTGGACAGGGGTGGATGGGGCTGGGAGGGCAGAGGAGAGGGGAGCGAAAGGGGCAGTGGAAGAAACAAGGACGTTTCTGTTTCACTTCCAGGGATCTAAGCAGAGCTGGGTGGAGGGAAAGTGTGTGTGTGGACTTGGCAAGACATGCCCAGTGAGTCTGAGAAGTGACCAGGAAATTCCATTCCCTAGGACATTAGGGTCTCTGAAACTCGGGGGTGGGGTCAGGCTGTGAAAAGGGCAGGACCGGGCCAAAGCATGGAGGGCTGGGGTTGGGGGGAAGGGGAACAATGCCAAAAAAGGAACTGAGAGCGACTGGCTGTCACTCTTAAAACTGCTAGGGAAAAGCGGGTTGAGGAAAACTGAAGTCCTGAGCAAGGTAAGCAGAGGAGGAAGAGGTGCCAGAATCCACAGCCCCTATTTCAACCCCAGAGAAGGGTCTGGGAAACCAACGAGAGATCGGGGATTAGACGGCATAGGACCACATCCCGACAGCCGAACAGGGCGAGGACTGCGCCCCTCTTAGTCCCATTTGAGAGTGAAACAGGGAACTGAAAAGACCCCCCCCCAATCTCAACACCACCAAGGTCACACTAGGGCTCGAGCCCCAACCTGTTGGGGGGCGACCAAGAGAGGGGACCGCGGAGACCTGTCCCAGGAAGGAAGGATGTACAGAGGTAGTTCCTGGGTCCAGTGCTGGCCCCAAACCGGTTTTCCCGGTCCCGCGGCCTTCCTCCCCAGGCCTCCAACCCGCTGCCTGACAAGCCTTCACAAGCAGCAGCTGCGAAGAAAGGAGCAGAATTGAGAAAGGAGTGGGCAATCCTGGCTGTCAGCCCAGGGCTGCAGCTGGCCCTGCTCGGAGACCCCACACTTGCACGGCTGCTGCGGGGCCTGGAAACGGGGCTGGATCCCATATGCCAGCCGGGTGACCGGTATCTGCCCAGCACCAACGCCCCGCTCCGCAGGACAGGTCTAGCGGGGGCTCCAGGGAAGGAACCAAGCCCCGGGCTTTCCATCCCTCCAGAGTCGGCCACCCCCACCCCGACCTTCTCCGAGCCTCCCAACCTTCACGCAGGCCCGGGACCTCTCTGATCCCTCGGACTGTCGCTCGCCCCGCGGCTGCCCCAGGCTCTGGGAAGGCGCTCCCGGCGCCTGGTCCCCCGCGCCTGTCCCGCACGCGCCGCCAGCGGCCCGGTCCCTGCCTCGGCCTCGCACTCCGCCCTGCCTCCTTCCGCTCCGCAGCCCGGGCGCCGTCCTCGCTTCCCCACCGCCAGCATCGGAGCGTCCCCACCGGCCTCACCTGCTCCTCGCGGGCGTCCAGGCGTCCGGCCGCCGCTGGGGGGGTCCGGGCCGCGGCCGGCCGTGTGGGCTTCCCGGGCTGGCTCCGCGGGGCGGCGGGGGAGCCGAGCTAGCTCGGCAGAGGTGGGGCGGGCCGAGGACGGAAACGCCGGCGACGTGATTACGAAACCCGCCGGCGGCGGGCGCGCGCCCTGCTCCCCCGGACGTGCGGGCCCTGCGCGGCGAGCGCGCGCGCACGCGGGGACGCGCCCTGCAGCCCGAGGGCGGTGCCCTGGAGCCAGTGGGCACCTGGGCCAGGGCCCGGCACGCGCCCGGTACGCCCTGCGTCACGCGTGGTCCCCGCGCGCCAGGCCCTGCGGGGTGGGGGACTCGCCGAGGCCCAGACCTAAGAAGCACCCTCCCGCCTCTCCCCACTGTGAGGGTGGAAAGGCGAGGCGGAGGGGTAGTGAGGGGGGTAAAAGCTGAGAATCTTTTTCTCCATAACACCTAGCAAGTAACCTGGAGTCCTTACGTTGGGAACAAAGTGACACTCCTCCATTCCATTGCTTAGACTCTTTTGACCAATAAATCTAAATTTGGGGACAATGCATTCCTGGCTCCCCGGTCAGCTCGGGGGGTCGGGAAGGGATCGGGAATGATGTGGGACCAATAAACCTATGCAGATGCCGCGAGCCCCCTCCTCCCCCTCCAGGGCTCCGAACCTATCATCGGAATTGGCCGAGTCTGGCAGGGAGGGGGCGGGAAGTCCTCCGCCCTTCTTAGGAGGGGCTGCATTGCAGGGGGAGACCGCTCTGGCAGGCTCAGTCTGGGAAGAAGACGAGGGTGGAGACAAAGCCGTCAGAGCCCCAACAGCTTCCTTTTTCTCCAGCCCAGAGCAGACCCCGAGACCCCGCAGTACTCCCGTCGTCTTTGGAACACGCTAGTAATTCACTGATAACAGGTAAACTAAACTGGGGGTGGGTGGGCAGGGGGCTGCAGAGGTAGAACAGCAGTTTATTCTGGTCAAAGACCCCAAATAAGATTGAGGTGGGGAACAGTTAAAGAGAGAAGGGGGCGCTATGAACAATGGATAGCGATTTGTTCCCAGATTAACACCTCTTTAGTAAGATCTCCATCCATGCCTTGATAGCAGGTCCCTATTCATTAATCTGTAACAATTTACGTGTAATTATTTCTCAGCACGTATCTCATTTCCATTTTCCTATGATTTGTTGTCCTGTGTATTTAATATCTTCAGTCTGCTTATCTATATCTTCCTTTTCAAGTTCTAATTTTTACTACTAGTCGTATGGTTACTCTTTATTCCCTCTGTATCTCTCTAGCCTCTACTTTCCTGTATTTCCCATTTTTTCCTGTAGTGCTGTTTGTCTCTGTGGGAAGGAGTCTTGAAGGTGAGATATAGGATAATATTGAGAGTAATCCTGACATTTGGGGTCTCCTCCCCCTCCCCATCTCAAATCTTTGCTCCAAAGAAAGGGGCAGCTTGAGGTAGGGAAGATGGGGGCCTCTTCCAGCTGCCTGACCCCACACTGAAATCAGTTCAGCTCCACAGGAGCTGTTCATGGGAGTAGAGTCTTAGTTGCTCAGTAGAATAAGTGGGAACGGACATGACTAATAGAAAAATTCACGCTCAGAGGGAGGCAGACATGGCATGCCAGAGAACATCCATGCCTTCCCCCCCCCATGGTGGCAGGATGACACAGCAAGGCCCTGTGGGGAGGGCTGGACGCCCACAGAGGGTCTCCACAAAGGGTATTTGGGTGTGTCTACGTGGGTCACAAAAAGTGCATCTTTTAAATCTGATATATTAGTCATGTATCTCTAAGAATAGACAGTGATATTTAGAAATTACCTTTGCCTAAAATATCTGGATAATTTTAAATAAAGGATAGTGGGTAGCATGTATCGAGTGCTTATAATGCAAGAACAAACCCTTTAAGATATGTAAATATCAGATGTAAGGACAGATGAGAAGAGGAAGGAGAAGCTAGCTCATAAGACATTTGCAAAATGTGGATGACTTTGAAATTAAACCCATACCATATTAAATTAAAAGTTACATGATAAATATCTTTACATTAGTAAATACCATATTTTAGCTTCAATTTTCTGTGTAGCCTTATGTTTTTGCCTTGATTTTAAGGCCACATACGTTTGTATATGTGTCTTTCTGGAATGCATTTGGTACCCTGTACATTCTGTGGGTCAGTGGCTTAGCTGGAAATTTAGGTCTTTTGAGTTAATATTTCACAAAATTTCTTTAGGAATTTTTAAATTGCAAGGTAGTTCAATCAGACACTCGGACTATTCAGGCAGTTATACATAACTGTAGTTGCAAGAGAAGGAGTCAATTTGTCAAAGAGCTTTTTCGCTTTCCTCAGATTCTAGCTTACTCTACTGCATTTCACATTTTCACTACTTAGATCAGAATCACAGCAATAATCAGCACCTGACTTACAGAGTATCTGTTTTGTTTTTGCTTTTTAAGGAAAACATTTTTGTATGTAGTGTTGGGGATCAAACCCAGGATCTCATGCATGCTAGGCAAGTATTCTACATCCCCAGCCCCAGAACATCTGTTCTTCAAGAACTGGAATCTCAGGGCTGGGGATTTAGCTCAGTGGTGCCACCACCTGCCTTGCAAATGCAAGGACCAGAGTTTGATCCCCAGTTACCACCCTCCCCCCAAAAAAGAACTAGAATCTCACCAGGTGTGGTGGTGCATGCCCATAATCCTAGGCTGAGGCAGAAGGATTGCAAGGTCAGGGCCAGCCTGAGACACATAGCAAGCCCCTATCTCAAAAAAACAGAGAGAGATGCTGGGTATGGTGGCGCATGTCTGTAATCCCAGCACTAGGAGGCTGAGACAGGAGGATCACCATGAGTTTGAGGCCAGCCTGGATTACATAGTGAGACTCTGTCTCAAAAAAGACAAAAAACAAAACCGAGAGAGAGAGAGAGAGAGAGAGAGAGAGAGAGAGAGAGAGAGAACAAGAAAAACTGATGTCCCATAAAATTTGAAAATATTGGCATAGAATTATATAAAGCTGTAGGCAAAGACTGGCGACTATGAGCCTTAGGTTTATATAAACTGGCTAGAAGTTTTCACAAATCACTAGATAATTTTTAAAGTTTGGTCTAGGTTTAAATTCTATGATTTTTTTTCTCCTTACAGTTCTATTTAAAGAGCCCATGATATGCCCAGCATTATTCTGAGGTCACTCTGTGGGAGAATTGCCAGGGAGGGGATATAAAAAGAAGCCAGCTAGCTAGGGGGAAAGCTGGTAACGCAGTAAACGGTTCCAGTGGGCAGTCAGTGGCACTGTTGATTCTAAGGCTTGTTTCTTAGGATCTCCTCAGTCCAGACCCGAGCGGGGATTGGTTGGTGAACAGGTAGGGCTATTTCCTAGCTCTCTCTGCACAAGTCTCTGCAGATTACTATGAAGATGACTGAGTGCCTCACAGCAGGATGACCTCACCCTCCAGGGCCCTCCCCCACCTGCTCTGCGCCTGCATCACCCCCTGAAGCAGCTTCTCTGCTGAGTAATGCTCACTCTCAGTTTATTTTGGAGCTTGAACCAAAGGGAAAAAAAAACAATTCAGAATTAACTTACCCACTCGATACTCCTAAAGTCCCAGTACTCTCATACATCACTGTTCTAGAGTAAAGCTTGCTTTTTCTGCTTCAGTAGAGATATTTCACATTATATACGTGCTTTTTGGAACCTGTTTAAAGCTATTATTTAGTTTTCTTTCCTTCCTTCCTTTCTTTCTTTTTTGTGCTAGGGATCAACCCCAGATCCTTGTGTTTGTCAGGCAATTACTACCTAACATCAGGCTGTTATTTAGGAGTCACAGGCCTGGTGAGAGCCACGAGGCCCGGTGAGTGCTAGAGGAAGGCTTTTTGAAACAGGGTTCTAATCTTGGAGGCACTGGAATGTTCTTTCTGCTTTGATGGGAACATTTCAACTAGGGCTTCTTGCCCCTTCCCTTGGCTGGTAAGTAGGAGAGTGGAGGTTCAGGGAGCTATAATAGTCATAACATCAGGCAAGGTGTCGGTAGGGTCAACAGAAGCTGTGGGAGAGCTACTCATTAGAGCATGGGAAAGTATCTTCTTCCAATCTAGACTTCCCTTCACCTGGGACCACCAGCCTTTTTTTTGAGACAAGGTCTCACCATGTAGTCCAGGCCGGCCTTGAACTCTCAGTGATCCTCCTGCCTCAGCCTCCCTAGTGCTGGGATCACAGGTATGGGTCATCATGGCAGCCATCCAACCCATTTGCTCTCATTATCATCATATATATATATATATATATATATATATATATATATATATATATCTCAGAATTAGGATCAGAGGAGGTCCTGTTATGACAAAAATTTTAGAACCTGGATTTGGTTTTGAAGGAGAGGGAGGTTACAGAGAAGTAGATTCGTAAGATTATCTGTGGACTAATAGATGAATGGCAAGGTACTCATCAGTATTAAATACTAAGGGAAAATTAACAGCCAGCCTTGGGTGTCCGTGTGCAAAGCCTAAGAACACAGAAAGCACACTGGTTTTACCTTTAGGGAAACTTTCAGTTTATTGAAGGAGATAAGACTATCCTTCTAGGCTGGGTGTGGTGATGCATGCCTGTAATCTCAGCACTCAGGAGGCTGAGGCAGGAGGATCACTGAGCACTGTGAGTTGTAGTCCAGCCTAGGCTACATAGTGAGACCTTGTCTCAAAAGACCAAACCTCAAAAACAAAATCTGGACCGGGGATTTAGCTCAGTTGTTCCACCACCTGCCTCGAAAGAGCAAGGACCCGAGTTAGATCCCCAGTACCATACAAAACAAACAAAAAACTAACCTTTCTCCATTTTGGAATGACTTATTTGTTGCCTGTTGCATTAAGTTGATCTTGAGTCTAATTTTTTATTTTTTGAGACAGGGTCTTTTTTTTTTTTTTTTAGTACTGGGGATCGAACTCAGGACCTTGGGACTACAAGGCAGGCACAGTACCACTAAGCTAAATTCCCCAGCCCAAGACAGGATCTTACTATGTACTCTAGGCTTGCCTTGAACTGTGTAGCCCAGACTGGTCTTGAACTTGCAGCAATACTCCTGCCTTAGCCTCCCAAGTGCTGGGATTACAGAGGGAAAAGTTCTGAAGCTTGTTCTAGGGAGCTGGATTATTTACATATGTAAATAGGGGTGTGGAGTTTCTAAACTAGAAAATGCCAGGAGCAAGCTGCATATGGTAGCACAAGCCTGTAACCCCAGTATTCACTCTGGGAAGCGGAGGCAGGATTGCAATTGGAGCACAGCAACTTAATGGAACCCTGTCTCAAAAAATAAAAATGGCTGAGATGTAGCTCAATGAGAAGGCCCTGAGTTCAATCCCCAGTCCTGAAAAATTAAAAAAAAAAAAAGGCCAGGAGGCAGAAGGAAGTTGCTTTGGCATGAAGAATGATGAGTGGTTTCTTCCTAGGAAGCTATGAGGGACCCTGTGAGCAGCCAGTACAGCTCCTTTCTTTTCTGGAGGATGCCCATTCCGGAACTGGATCTGTCTGAGCTGGAAGGCCTGGGTCTGTCAGATACACCTACCTACAAGATCAAGGGCAGCAGCGCTAGCAAAATGACCGGGCAAGCAACTGGAGCAGAGCAGAAGAACCCTGAAGGTGATATCCTCCTTGAGTACAGCACCTTCAACTTCTGGAGAGCTCCCATTGCCCGTATCCACGCCTTTGAACTGGACTTGCTCTAAGGCCAAGACTTGTCTCCGGCCACCTTGTCCTCGTTGTTTTCCCTTTCCAGCTCCTCCCTTCCATCCCTTTACCATTTTAATCTTGTTCTCTTCCCTCTGTTGTGTTGGTGGTGCTGTTGAATCTGCTCGCTGTTGTATTTATTTATCTATTTATTCATCTCTTTATTTATCTACTCCATTCCTCAAAAGCCCTCAAGCCAAAAAAAAAAGCCCTCAAGCCACAAAATAGGGCTCAAGCAATGGAGTATTGGGTCACAGGGGCTCCACTGCACTCCCACCCTGGGATTATCAACTTCAGAAAGTAGTCCTATGGGGGCACCAAGGAGTGGTAAATAGTGCAAAATGGAAAGCTGACTTTTTAAATTCCATTTTAATCAGCTTCAAAGATTCCTCAAACCTTCCTAATTTTCTGCTCCAGGCCAGTAAACATAAGTATTTCTTAAAGGGTTGACAAAAATCTTGCAGGTTTTAATTTGAGATGACCTGCTATAAAACAAGATTTCTAAAAGGCTAAGACTCTTGCTTTTTAAACCCTACTCCTTCTTGTAATACATTCTTTCCCCCCAGAGAAATTAGGGTACTTAAAGGTGTAAAACAAGAGGAAACAAAACCTCATGGAACATGAAAATAGGGGAAAGTACTAAATCATTTCAGAAATGGCTAGGCTTTTTCTTTTTCAGAAGAGTATCTTTAGCCTATTCACTTTACAACTTTGCTCCTAAATGGGTTGAAAACTTGCTGAGAAAAATCACATTTCAAATCTTAAGAAATCTTGCTGACTGGTAGGATAATTTGTAAGGTTTTGATTAAGTCTTCTAAAGGGGATAAGGTTTGGGCCTTAGTATTTAATCTTGCCCTCTTGCATTTGGAATACATAATACTGATCAGTGGACCTCAGGGCCAGTTCTTTAGCTACTTTAAGACTATGAAATGAACAATTAATTACCTTTGACCTTACACCTTGTCCCCACTTCTTCCAAAATTATTGCTAATTTGTGCTGCCATTTACTTGTTTATTTAATAAATACTCAATCCCAGGACTGGATTCTAGCTTTTTCTCTCCACAGGCCTTAACGTTAGCCAGGTTTTCACATTTAGGTTATACATTTCATCTAATATTCAATTATGAGGAAGAATGATTTAAGTAGATTTATACATAAAAGGTGAACTTCAGGTTGAACAGGTAGGTAACCAAAAAAGGGTGAAATCTTACAGTTTGTAAAAAAGCTTTCACCATTCTTATGCTTGTGAACTGATTACCAACATGGTTTTTTTTTGGACCAGGGATCGAACTCAGGTCCTTGTGCTTATGCAGCAGGCAGCGGAAACCACTGAGCTAAATTCCCAGCCCTACCAACATGTTTGATAAAATTTTCCTAGGTGTCTAAAAAGTAGACTAATTCACCCAAATGTTATCTGCTTATTTGTAACTTGCCTCATTCCAAAAAACTATTTGTAACTAACTTGAAAATAGTCTGTTGGGCTGGGGATTTAGATCGTCGTTTCTTCCGCCTGCCCTGCAAGGGAGTTCAATCTCCGGTACCAAAAAAACAAAGAAAATAGTCTTTGTTGTAGCCTGTCATTCTTTGAGGCTGAGGCAGGATTGTAAGCTCAAGGCCAGCCTGGGCAATTTTTTTGACTGTCTCAAAATTTAAAAAAAGTAAAGGCCCTGGGCTTAGGCCTTAGTACCTAGGGGAAAAAAGATAAAAGGCTTTTGTGTTCCTACTACTATATTAAAAAACACTAAGTCTGACACAGTATAAGAGGATATAAATAGGAATGACTCAAGATTCTCATTTAATGACTTAAACCCTGTCTCAAAGTGGGGGAGTGGCTATGGATGTAGCTCAGTGAAGGGGCTGAGTCCAAATTTCAGTGGTAAAGAAAATTTTAAAAAAATTCATTCGAGGGCCGGGGATTTAGCTCAGTGGCTTCGCCGCCTGCTGCACGAGCGCAAAGACCTGAGTTCGATCCCTGGTACCAAAAAAAAAAAAAAAAAAAATTCACTCGATTCACAAAAATATAAAATAACAAATAGTATTGGATAGTATGTCATAAAGATAACATCAATAGAATTTAAGAAGTTTGCACAAGGGAGAGACATAAACCCTCTTCCTAGGGCTTCAACTATTCAAGGAATGGAGCCAGGGACAAATGAGGTGTCTTTTTCGGAAGGGCTTTCTCGAGATCTTCAAGTCCTTGAATCATCGAAACTGGTGGGTGGAGACGGGATCAACTGATAAGTGAAGTGACTAAATGAATTTGCAAACTCATGCTCCATCTTCTGGCCCCCCAGAAGGAACACGCAGTTAGTACTCATTCCACGGTTCCATCTGAGAGCTTCCTGCTGCCGGCTGTAATGAAATACGTGATCTTCAGGCAACAGAGGTAAATTCCCGGGCAAAGCCAGGAATGCCCCGTGAGCGTCAAACGAGCTTAGCCCAAGGAAGAAAGGCTTTTCCTGTCAACCCTATCCGCTGGCTACCCTGGAGTTGTCGAGAGGTAGAACTGAAACTCCAGACACATAATTTTGATTTCCCTTTAGCGGTTTGCTGAGTTCTTGGCGCCAAAACCACCTTCAAGGTCCGTCCCTTACCGGAACTACACAAGCGTAAAACACGTAACCCTAACACTCCGCCTCACTAAATAGTCCCTCCGGGGATGTCGCCCATACACACTTTTCCGGTTCAAGAGACCTTCAGTACATAAGAGACAAGCTTCAAAAGTTCATCACCTTCTTGTTCGAATGGGAAAGTGGGTTTTCTAATCAAGTTTCCTATACAGATTCCTCCGCCGGAACGCGTACTCGCGGACCTTCACTTCCGGGTCCGCCATTTTGTTGCCTCCATTTCTCCACGAGGGGGGGGTAAAGGCCCCCAAAATATGCATACATGAAAAGGCCAAAAAGTAACCGTCACTGACAGGGACTTTTACCTAGAGAAGGAAACAGAACCAAACTGGCGGGCTCGGTGAAAGCGCAGCGGGCAGCGTCCGAGACGAGGAGGTGAGGGGTCAGAGATGCGAGGACTCTGGGGGGCGTCTTAAGTGCACGGTGCCGTGAGAAGTCGTGGCGCTTCCCAGCCCGGCCCGGCTCCCGGGTGCTCCCGAGCGGCGCCCCCTCATCGAGGCGGGGGGAGGGGGCCGGAGAGGAAGGGGATGCTGCGGAGAGGAAGGGGAGGGGACTGAGGAGGTGAAGACGGGGTGGGTGTAAGACCTGGGGCCGGGGAGCTGGACCACGCGAAGCCAGGCCGCAGAGGTGACCGCTAGGGGGCGGCGTCTGCGGGCCGAGGGTGCCGGCTCCCCGGTTGGGCTCCGAGGAGTGAGCGGGGTGTCAGACCTGGGGCTCCGTGACGGGAGGGAACGGGGAAGCACTGGAGTTCTTGACTCCAGGAGTGAAGATTTAGTGGGCCTGGGAGCCTGAACCAGAGCGGCAGGGACTTCACCTCCGGCTTCTGCACAGCTGTTTGAACAGCTGGCCGCCCGAGGGGACGTGCGCCACACCGGCGGTCGGCGGACCGGGGTCCCGTTCGATGGCTGTTCTTCCGGTTAGCTTTCCTCGGCTCACGCAGATCCCTCTCCCCGTCGCCTAAAGCTGCGGTGTGGTTGGCGCTCTGCCCCGTCGTCTGTGGAAAGACGTTCCGTGATGTTCCTTCACAGTTGACTCTGGCCGTATTTTCGTAGTTTCGTCGTGCCTCGGCCGCCCAGTGCAGTGGAGATCTCCTGAAGCATTTGTTTCACACTGGCTTTGGTAACTGGGAGAACTGCCCCACCCAAATTCTTACATAAACGAAAGTAATGACTCTTTGATAACAGAGAACTTTGTTCCCAAGAGCTCAAGCCCTTCCTGGTTGTTAGAACACACTTGAGAGTTCTTGTGTTTTTAGGATGGAGGGGAAGTGAGTGCCCTTTGGTTTTACTCTTCGTCAGGGCTGGAGGTATAGCTCGGAGGTAGGACACTTGCCTAGTAGGTGTGAGGACCTGGGTTTAACCCCAGCAGAGGGTGAAGGGGTCTTAGGAGACAGTTTAGACCAGATTTGTCTTCTCACTCTCCTTGGGGAAAGTGGGGTACATCCAGTAAAGAAGAATGTTTTTCCTTTGTTAGTAAACAGGTCAGAACTCAGGGTGCTAAGAGAGTAACACGAGTCCTCCCAAAATGTGATTATTTTTAAAATATATATATTACTTTTAAACTGTGTGATGGTCTAGGCCTGTAATCCCAACACTCAGGCTGAGGCAGGAGAATCCCTGTTTGAGGCTAGCCTGAACTACATCTCGATACCTTGTCTCAAAAACCTAAATAATAGGGCTGGGGATGTAGCTTTGCGGTAGAGCACTTGCCTGCTATGTACAAGGCCCTAGGTTCAATCCCCAGCACCAGGGGAAAAAATAAAATAAAATAGATTACTTTTACTTGAGTTAGATGCTTCAGGTTAAATCAAAAGAGTGAGAGAAGGAGGAGAAGAGTCTCGAACACCTTTTAGGAGGCTTTTTTTTTTTTTGGTACTGGGGATCGAATTTGGGACCTTGTGCTTGCAAGGCAGGAGGCCTTTTTATATCAGGATGATAATATAGCACCCTATTTACATTCTAAATCCAAAACTTAATTATACCTCTGTATAGTAAGAAATAAGGTTTTTCATGGCTTGTTTGAAGAATGAGATGGTGTGTTCCAGTCGGTTGCTATTTAGGGGTACAGAACTTGACACACAATATGATTAAAGAAAAACGATAAATTATATTTGAAGTTAAACCGCAGTGGAAAAACTGGAATGTTCCAAATTATTTTACATAGCTGGGTATGGTGGTGCATACCTGTCATCCAGCTGCTCCAAGGGCTAAGGCAGTAGGATCTTGAGGCCTTGTCTCAAAATAAAAAGGACTGGGCCAGATGTGCTGGATGCAGTGCTGCCTATAATCCCAGCGCTCAGGAGGCTGAGACAGGATGTGAGGGCAATCTGGCTTTTTGTCACCCTTTTTATCACCAGAGTTGATTCAGCTGGTCTGGCTGGCTGGGCGGGTGTCCCCTTCCTCCCTCACCACTCCATGTGTGTCCTTCCCCAAGCTGCATGCTGGGTCAAAGAGGACACCACCCTGATAGAGGAGGATGGTTTCCTCCATAAAGGATATATAAGTAGCTGCACTCCCCTGCTAGGACCACCAAACAAGCTCTCAAGGAAACTGAGCCAGGAAGATTGCCATGAGTTGAGACCCCATCTTAAAAAAACAAAAGAATAAAAATTAAAAAATAAAAAGGGCTGGAGATGTAGCTAAGTGCAAAAGCTCTGGGTTCTATTCCCAGTAAGGCTAGAGATGTAGCTCAGTGAAAAGGCCAGCAGTGAAAAGGGGAGGGATAGGGGCTGGGGATTTAGCCCAGTGGTTCCGGTGCCTGCCTTGCAAGCACAAGGTCCTGAGTTCGATCCCCAGTACCAAAAAAGAAAGAAAAGAAAAGGGGAGGGATGAACAAGGATCCTAAACCTAGCCTCTAGACCACCCGGGACCTGGGGATGGACAAGGAAATAGGTTACTAGTACAGTGCCTCCAGGTTCCATCCCCAGTATGGAAAGAAAAAAATATATTTTTATGAGTTCACCTACTGAAGATACCAGTTACAGTGGGATAAAAATCATTTTACTCAGGGCTGGGGATTTAGCTCAGTGGGTTTTGCTGCCTGCTGCGCAAGCGCAAGGACCCCAGTTTGATCCCCAGTACCAAAAAAAAAATCATTTTACTTAAACCAGGTGTGGTGGCACACATGCCCATAATCCCAGCGGGAGGCTGAGGCAGGAGGATTGCCCTGAGTTCGAGGCCATCATGAACTACATAGTGAGACTTTGTCTTAAAAAAAAAGAAAGTCAACATAAAGGAGCTGACTTTCTAGAAGTATTAGCTTTCCAGGAATTTGAGGCAAACCAGATTTCTCCTTAAGCAAATACTGTTAGGAAAAAGGAAAAGAAGCAGAGGTACAAGCTCGACAGGACAGGTTTATTTCAGAACAAATCAGAGGGACAGCTCTAGCACTGGAAACCAGACCAGCAGCTCTGGACAGGCTGTGGGTCCTGGGGAGGGGAAGGAGCTCAGTGAGAGGGGCTGTGGCTCCCAGCCCAGGACGAGGCGTGGAATGGGAGAGCAGCAGCCAAGGACTCGGCTTGGGAAGGTTCGGACTGGTGCCCCCCGCACCCTGCAATGGCTGCATCAACAGTGGGGCTGACAGTGTTGGGGATCCCCAGGGGCAGCTGTGTGGGGAGGGGCAGTTTAAAGGGGTTGGATCAGGATGGCTGTGGTCAGATTCCTCCAGATACCCAACCTGCAGCCGATTGTGTGTGTGTGTGTGTGTGTGTGTGTGTGTGTGTGTGTGCAGTAGAGAGGACAGCTAAAATTCCCTTAGGATGGTTAATCCTGTTTTGATCCAGCCTTTCTTTTTATTTTTTATTTTTTGGTACCAGGGATCGAACTCAGGTCCTTGCTCTTGCGAGGCAGGCGGCGGAACCACTGAGCTAAATCCCCAGCCTTTCTGAGCAATTCTCTTTTGGCCATTCTTTCCCTTTGTTTTCTGTTTTTGTTTTTTGTGGGGTTTTTTGTTTATTTGTTTTTGAGATAGGGTTTGCTGTGTAGTTCAGGCTGACCTTAAACTCAGTGTGTCACCCAGGCTGGCCTTGAACTCATAGTGATCCTCCTGCCTCTGCCTCCCGAGTGCTGGGATTGAGCTACACTCCAACCCAATAACACATTTATATGAAAACTATCTTCCAGGTTTAAACAAATAATTTATGGAGAGGGGGAGAGAAGAATGGCATTGTTTTGGTTTTGCAAACCTCTAACTAACCACTGGCTCCATAGAAGACAGCTCTATTCTCATATCTACTTCTGCTTTCAAGCTATTGCAATATGTACTTGGAGAAAGAGTGAATATTGTAGTAGCTATTTCAGATCATTGTAAATAATCTTTGACACTACACAAAAACTTGACAAATGGTAATTTCTTTCTTCTTTTTTTTTTTAGTTCTAGAGATTGAACCCAGGACCTTCTTTCTCTTTTTCATAGCAAAACATTTATTGGTACAGTTTAGGCATGATGATACCATTTGTCATAGGGCATTTGCACCTGTACATCATACATCTCATTTCTTTTTTTCCATTCCCCTTCTCACTCCTTCTCCCATCCCAGTACAAAAGCTTTGTTTGCATTTTTCCCTTCTATTTTCTTTTTTCTTGTCCCTTCCTTCCTTTTTCCCTCCCTCCTCCCTTGTTCTCTTTTTCATTTTTTCTTCCCATTTCCCAATATCTATTATACATTTTATTTTTTTAAATTAAGTTTATTGGTACATAGTGGGTATACAATATGATGACATTCATTATTGGGGATTTGTACCTTTACATAAAATATCTTGGTTCTTATTTTTTCCCCATTCCCCTGCCCTCCCTTAAACCACTCCACCCCTCCCTATTTACAAAGACTTTGTTTCCATTTTTTCTTTTCTATTATATATTTTAGTCCTTATTTCCACTTTGGGTTTCTCACACCAGGGAAACAATGTGGTATTTGAACATGTGTGTCTGATTTATTTCACTTAAGAGTGTGGTCTTGAGGTGCATCCATTTAGCTAGAAATATCTCAAGCTTATCCTTCTTTATGGCAGAGTATATAAAAAAACCCCACACAGGGCTGGGGATTTAGCTCAGTGGTTTCGCTGCCTGCTGTCCAAGCACAAGGACCTGAGTTCGATCCCCGGTACCAAAAAAACCCAAAAAAACCCCCACATCTTCTTTATCCGTTCATCAGTTGATGGGCATTTGGGCTGTTTCCAAGATTTATCTATTACAAACTGTGCTATTATAAACAGGGGTGTGGATATATTACCTGTGGTATGATGCTTTTAATTCTTTCGGGAAGATACCAAGAAGGGGGATAGCTGGGTCAAATAGAACCTCTCGTTTTAGTTTTTTGAGGAATCTCCACGCTGATTTCCAGAGTGGTTGCACCAGTCTTACACTCCTAGCAGCAATGGAGAAGGGTTCCTTTTTCCCCACAGCCACTCCAGCATTTGTTATTTGGATCCAGGACCTTACATATGCTAGGCAGATATTCTACCACCAGCTGTGTCCCCAGCCTGACAACTGATTTCTTAGAAGTTGCAGTGAGAAATATGAAACCATGACCAGGGGTGGTGGTGCATGCCTGTGGTCCCGGCACTTGGGAGGCTGAAGCAGAAGGATCTCAAGTCTCACCTGGGGAACTTAACAAGACCCTAACTCCAATAAAAAGGGCTAGAAACTTGTTCAGTGCAAAGGCCTTCTATTCAGTTCCAAATACTACACTAAATAAATAAATAAATAAAAAGGTTGGGGATATAGCTTAGTGGTAGAGCACCCTTTGGGTTCCATCCCCAGTACAGGGGTTGGGGTTTTCATGATAAAAGCAGTTATTTCAGTTTGCAAGTTAATTGCACTGTCCTTTACCTCAAGAAATGCACTATATGTCAGGTATGGTGACACTCACCTGTAATCCCAGCACTTGGGAGGCTGAGGCAGGAGAATCGCCTCAAGTTCAAGGCCAGTCTGGACTACAAAGTGAATTCAAGGACAGCCTGAACTATAAAGTGAGACCCTGTCTCAAAAAACAACAAAAAAATGTAATAAAATTAGTAATTTTTACTGCTTCATCTGCGACTTCTGTATACCTGTGTGTGGTGCTGGGGATGGAACTGGGGCTGCTGTGTAATGAACTATATCCTCAGCCCTTTTTATTTTTGAAATAGGGTTTCATTAAAGTTGCTTAGGCTGGAGTTAAACTTGCAATCTTTCTGCCTCAGCCTTCTGAGAAGCTGAGATTATAGGAATATGCCACAGATCCTGCCTTCAGGAACATTCTTAAATAGAACCAGCCTTTTGTTTTGTTTTTTGGAACCAGTGATGGAACTCAGGACTTTTCACCTTCGAGGCAGGTGCAGTGCCACTGAGCTAAATCCCCGGCCCACAACTGGCCTTTTTTTTTAATCCCCGAAAGTACATGGCAGTGAAAAATGCAATAACTAGTTCACAATTTGACTTATGCTAAGCCACTAGAAATTATACCCACAGTAATATTTTCTTAATGTGGTGAAAAAGAAATGATTTTGGGGGTTTGGGGGGGCAGGGGTTGACACAGGATATTCCTGTTTGTTTTTTGGGTTTTGTTTCTTTTTTTGTACCAGAGATCGAACTCAGGACCTTGCACTTTCGAGGCAAGCACGGTGCCACTGAGCTAAATCCCCAGCCCAACACAGGGTATTCCTATGTAGACCAGGCTTACCTTGAACTGACATTGTAGTCTGAGCTGGCCTTGAACTCATGGAAATCCTCCTGCCTTCACCTCCAAGTGCTGGGATTACAGGTGTGCACCACACCTAGCTAATAATGTTTAGTATTAGAATACAAACATTTTCATGGATCTCCTCATGGATCCTTACGAAAGCTTGTTCGTGACCACCAGAGGTCCATCAACTCTACATTTAACTGCTGGCTTAAGCAGATCAGTGTTTGACCAGTAAGTTTGCTATCTATATACTTTGATCATTATTGTATCTTTACATCATGGTCAGATGAAAAAAAAATGGTTAACGGGGCTGGGGGATTTAGCTCCGTGGCGCCATGCCTGGCTCACAAGCACAAGGTCCTGAGTTCAATCCCCAGTACCAAAAAAAGAAAGGTTAACAGATACAATTTGATTTAGAAACCTTGATGTACCCTGTTTCATTTTGCCATCCAAAGATCTGTGAATCACCAGAAAGCGTACACAGTTGCTAATAAGTAGTCCCATAGTTTCTACCCAGCAGCAGTTTCACAGTGGATATTCTCTTGCTCCCTGCCTGAACATCAGGTGCTTGTTTTATTGCTTTGCACAGTACTGTGTTCCTAAAAATAATATTCGACAGTTGGTCATTTCTTTTTTGTTTTGTTTTGTTTTTTTGAGACAGAGTCTCACTATGTCATTCAGGCTGGCCCTGAACTCATTATGTAGCCCAGGCTGGCCTGGGACTGTGGCAGTTCTCCTGCCTCAGCCTCCTGAGTTCAATCCCTAGTACCACCAAAAAAAAGATAAAAGAAACTACTGAACTATATTCTAGGGTGGCTATAACATATTGTATTCCTACTTCACAATTTGTGAATAATCCAATTTTTTCTACATCCCCAGCATGTGGTATTATCATTAAAATTTTTTTTTTACCCTCTTGCTGCGTCGCCGGTGCCTGAGCAGTCTGCTCAACCTTGCTTCTTCTCTCCCGGCGGAGGCCCGGGAGACCCAAGCGAGAAGCGGGGACCATGTTTTGACGCAAGCTGACAGCTCTCGACTACCACAACCCTCCCGGCTTCAACTGCAAAGATGAAACAATTTAGAAACTTTATAGTTTGGCTTGAAAACCAGAAAATCAGACACTACAAGATTGAAGACAGAGGTAATTTGAGAAACATCCCCAGCAGTGACTGGCCCAAGTTCTTTGAAAAGTATCTCAGAGATGTTAACTATCCTTTCAAGATTCAGGACCAACAAGAAGCAATTGACTGGCTTCTTGGTTTAGCTGTTAGACTTGAATATGGAGATAACGCTGAAAAATACAAGGATCTAACACCTGGTAATGCAAAAAATACTGACAATGCAACTAAAAATGCAGAGCCATTGATCCGTTTGGGTGTAAATAATCCCGATTTTAAGGCTGGTGTCATGGCTTTGGCTAACCTTCAGATTCAGTGCCATGATGATTACCTGGTAATGCTTAAGGCAATTCCAATTTTGGTTCAGGAGCGCTTAACACGGGATGCAGTTGCTAAAGCAAATCAAACAAAAGAGGGTAGTGTGCCTGTTGCTTTAGACAAACATATTCTTGGTTTTGACACAGAAGATGCAGTTCTTTGATTTCCTTTTTTTGTTTTTTTTGTACTGGGGATCGAACTCAGGACCTTGTGCTTTCGAGGCAGTTGACAGAACCACTGAGCTAAATCCCCGGCCCAGGAGATGCAATTCTTAATGAAGCTGCTCAAAATCTGCAATTGCTGCATATAGAAGAACTCAGAGAGCTCCAGACAAAAATTAATGAAGCCGTAGTAGCTGTTCAGGCAATTATTGCTGATCCAAAGACAGACCACAGACTGGGGAAAGTTGGAAGATGAACACTTTAGATTTCTGCTTCTTACCTACTTAGTACAGTTGGGAACTATATACTTCTGGCATGTATTTGGAAATCAAATCTCATTTTGGAGGGAGGAATCCCAGAAAATTGACTATGTTCTAGAGATTTACCACCACGATTACCTTTTCCTTAATAAAGTTTAAGAAAGTGGAGTTTGGGGTTCCTACAAAAAAAAAATTTTTTTTTTAGCCATTCCAATAGGTGTATGGTATGTGATGTGTGCTGTGTCGAGAACTTCTATGAGAGGAGAAAAACTTTTCGGTATTGTTAATAGCTAACTGCTTTCTGTGTTAGTGCTTACAAGGGCTTGCAGGGCTGGATCAAAGTTCCTCAGAAGACTCCACGTGCTCTGACTCAGATGAAATGCAGGACAGAAATTTACAAGATTGCCCACAGAGTCAAGTGTAGAAGAGCGCCAAAGATGTGCCCGCTGGAGATTGGAAGGACCCAGCCGAGGCCTGGAGCCCAAGGCAGTGTCCTGTCTCGAAGTGCTCAGCAGGAGGTGGGAGGGCTCAGTACTGGGAGGGCAGGCCGAAAGGCCACTGCTGGAAGCTGAAGAATCAGCCTGGAAAGCTAGGAGATGATGCCCAAGGCGAAGGCAAGGCTGGAGTTCCTTGGAAGATAGCAGCAGTCCTCCTCAGCAACGGTGAGGACCTGGAGCTCCACGGAGAACAGCCGAAGCTCTTCCAAGGCAAATCAGCTGAAGTCCTTCCCTGGAATTCTCCTGAAAGTGGGTCTCATGCCCAGAACCGCACTGACCCAATTCAGCTGGGCGTCCCGCTCAAGTTGGCAATCATTTGACCTCACACTTTCACTAGAGGTTTAACAATCTTATATGAAGACTTCTGCCTTTCTTTCCTTTCTTCCTCTCTTCCTTTTTTTCCTATTTATTTATGTAGGTTTTTTGAGCCAGGATCTTGCTCTGTAGTTCAGGTGGGCCTTGGACTCACTGTGTAGTGCTGGCTCCTGAGTGCTGGGATCACAGGTGTTCGCCACCATGCCGGGCCTCAGCTGTCATTTCAAGTGGATGAGATGCTATTTTATTGATTCTCTACACTAGAAAGGCTGTAATGTAGTTTTCATTTTTCCAAAATATTTTCTGGAGATTGAAAGGGAGGGAGAGAGCTATCATTTAAGACCTAAAACTTTGCCAAGTACCTGACTGTCAGATGAGGTAGAAAGGGGGGTTCTGCTTGTCTGCGTGTACAAGGGGCCTTCCATGAACACCCCGGGCAGCTCTTGTGTTTGCATTACAGCTACCTGAAACCCTCTGTTCCTATGCATGAAGATGTCTCTGGTGGACTTGGGGAAAAGGCTGCTAGAAGCAGCAAGAAAAGGCCAAGATGATGAAGTGAGGACATTGATGGCAAACGGTGCCCCATTCACCACAGACTGGGTAAGTTTAGCAGAAAAGCCTCGTTACTTTTCAAGTGTGCCTTCACCAACCTTTTTCTTTCTTTTCTTTCTCTTTTTTTCCCCCGAGTACTGGCGATTGAACCCAGGCCTTTTTCGTGCTAGCCTAGTGCTGCGTCACTAAACTACATCCCTATCTCTTTTTTTTTATTTAAAAAATTTATTTTGGTACCAGGCATCGAACTTGGGACCTTACGCTTTCGAGGCAGGCAGCGGAACCACTGAGCTAAATCCCTGGCCCTCTCTTTTTAGTTTTTGAGACAAGGTCTTGATAAATTCTTCAGCGTGGACTTGAACTTGTGATCCTCATGCCCTAGCCTCCCAAGTAGCTGGGACTACAAATGTGTGCCACTGCACTTGGCTCCAACCCTTTTCTTTTTTCTTTTCTTGAGGGGTAGGTATGTACTGGGTATTGAACCCAGGGCCTACCAGTGAGCTACATCCCCAGCCCATTTTTTATTTTATTTTGAGACAAGATCTGGCTAACCTACTAAATTGTCTAGGCTGGACTTGAACTTTTTTTTTTTTTTTTTTTTGGAGACAGGGTCTCACTATGTATTTCAGGCTGGCCTCGAACTCCTGGCAATCCTCCTGCCTCAGCCTCCTAAGTGCTGGGCTTACAGGCGTATACCACCATGCCCGGCCTGGACTTGAACTTTGTTTTGTTTTGTTTTGTTTTATTTTTTGGTACCGGGGATTGAACTCAGAGACCTTGTGCTTGTGAGGCAGGCAGCGGAACCACTGAGCTAAATCCCCAGCCCTGGACTTGAACTTTTGATCCTCCTGTCTTAGCCCCCCAAAATGCTGGTGTTACAGGTGTGCACCACCGCACCCAGCTTCCAACCTTTTGTTTTGTTTTGTTTGTTTGAGACAGGGTCTCACTATGTAGTTCAGGCTGGCCTTGAACTCATTGTGTTGCCCAGGCTGGCCTCAAATTTGCAGCAATCTTCTTGCCTCAGCCTCCTGTGTGCTGAGATTACAAGTGTGTGCTACCATGCCCAGCTGTCCAGCCTTTTAAAGGGTAAACAGACATTACTGATGGTTCTCCATATTCTTTCTATCTCCTTCCCTCTACAAGTTTATCTCACCTGAATGTGTAGTTTTCTAAATTGAGAATCTCCTGTGCACATACAGGTGGTACTTTTTAAATTTTCTGTAATGTTTTTTAGAATATTTCCTAAAGGTTTAATTCTCTCTGGAGTGTGCTTAGGTTTTAGGCTCTAATTATCCAGAAATTAAACAAAATCAGAATAATAAGTGCATTTCTAAGGTAATGAACTCATTGTTTCTTTCTTTTTTTTTTTTTTTTGTACCAGGGATGGAACTCGGGTCCTTGCACTTGTGCAGCAGGCGATGAAACCACTGAGTTAAATTCCCAGCCCAGAACTCATTGTTTCTTTTTCTCTAATGTGTCTGGCTCATAAAGAAGAGTCTAGCTTTTTGTTTCATTTACTACTCTAGGAAAACATGAAAGAGCGAGGGATCATATAGTGAACTTGTACCATCAACTTGGAGGCCAGAGAGTTTCAGAAGATCCAGGTGCAAGTGATAATGTGGGCTTTTTTTTAGCATTCACAGATTTTGTGAGCATTGACTAATTTTAACCATTTCAGTGAACAAGTCTCCTACCTCTATTGTGGAGTAATTCATATATGCAGAGGCCAACAGGTTCTTTTTTTTTTTGTACTGGGGATCGAACTCTGGTCCTTGTGCTTTCAAGGCAGGCAGCAGAACCACTGAGCTAAATCCCTGGCTCCCCCAACAGGTTCTTAATGCTTCACAAAAAAGCAGCAAACAAACCCCATGAGATTAGCATTTCTATAAGTAAACCTGAAGAGAGCAATGTGAATTAAATCCAGTCACGCGCAGAGGCTAAATATATGGAAAGCAAAGAATAACCTAAACAGGCTTAAAATAAAGAGCACAATACACAGAAAGGAACAGATCCCTGTCCGGGGTGGATGCTGGGAGGTAACTTGGAAGATTTTCATTGATCGAGGTGATGCAGACTTGTGTATTGCTGTCAGCGTGCTGTTACTAAGTTCTTGCTGCCTCCATCTCATTGGTATTTTTGCTCTGCTTTACCGTGGCATTAGTAAACAGAATGTCTATTCAAATCAATCAGATTTGTACCTTAGGTTCTACATGTAACTTTCTAGTCTCTGCCCTTTTCCTTTTCCTTCAAACGAAGCAGTCCTCCTGCCTCAGCCTCCCGAGTACTGGGATTTATAGGCGTGTGCCACCCACGCCTGGCTCTCAGAATGCTATTTTTTGATTCATTTTTTTAAACCTTCAAAGCCCTATTTAAAATTATGTCTTTTAGGGCTGGGGATTTAGCTCAGTGGTTTCGCCACCTGCTGTACAAGCGTAAGGACCTGAGTTCGATCCCTGGTACCAAAAAAAAAAAAAAAAAATTATGTCCTTTAGGGAATCTTACTTGATAAATCTACCTGATTTAAGAGCATTATACTTCATACTTATTTAATTGATAATTTGCCAGTTAGTTTTTCAGGGGTATTTTTTGGCAGTACTGGGGATTAAACCTAGGACCTTAGACTTAACTAAGTCTCCAGCCCCTTGTCTCTTTGTTGTACTAGTTTTTGTTTGTTTTTGGTTATGTTTTTTTTGTTACCCTGGATCAAACTCAGAACCTTGCATTTTTGAGGCGAGTGTCCAAACCACTGAGCTAAGTCCCTGGCCCTGTCTACTGGTTTTGAACCCAAGGCCTTTGCACTGAGCTACACTCCCACCCTATTTTAAAATTCTGAGACAGAGTCTCACTCAGTTACCCAGGCTGAGCTCAAATTGGATCCTCCTGCCTCCGCCTCTTAGAGTGCTGGGATTACAGGCCTATACCACCATACCTGGCTCTAGTATATTAATTTTTTTTTTCAGTACCGGGGATCAAACTTGGGTCCTTACGCTTGCGAGGCAGGCACCATAGCCACTGAGCTAAATCCCCAGCCCTAGTATATTAATTAATTTTTATTTATTTATTTTTGGTACTGGGGATCGAACTCGGGTCCTTGAGCTTGCGAGGCAGGGAGCGAAACCGCTGAGCTAAATCTCTGGCCCTTCTTTTTTTCTTTTTTGTTTGGTACCAGGGATCGAACTTGGGACCTTGAGCTTGCAAGGCAGGCGCCAGAACCACTGAGCTAAATCCCCGGCCCCGTATATTAATTTTTAAATGACATCATTTCCAGTCCCATCTACCAATCAGTTCACCCCATCCCCCCACCCCCAGAACAGGCGCCTAGGAGTCACTTCTTGTTCCTGTCTCTTCAGCAGGGGCTAAGGGCTCTGCATGTGCAGTTGTCCAGTGAGTGTTATCTCCCCACAGCTTGGAACCTCCCCACTGCACCTCGCAGCCCAGCACGGGCACTACTCCACTGCTGAAGTGCTGCTTCGAGCGGGTGTCAGCAGGGATGCCCGCACTAAAGTGGACAGGACCCCTCTGCACATGGCCGCTGCGGACGGACACGTGCACATCGTGGAGCTGCTTGTTAGGGTAAAGCCGGATCGGGCTGGGCTGTATGGGAAAGACTTCCACCTCCCTGTGGTCTCAGGCAATGGGTTGGGAGGGAGGCAGTGGCCCTGGTGTGGAGTGATGAGTCGCAGCTCTTTAAAGAGTCAACATGGCTATGAGGAGTTTGCTTTGTAGTTTTTAAAATACTAAACAGATTTTTAATTGATTTTTTAAAAAATTCTTTTTCTGCAGGTGTTCTGTTCTTATGCCTATTTTTTAGACACTCAGCTCTCTGTTAACAAATGGAACAAAAATCTGTTCCTTCCCCTTCCTCTCCCATCTGTTACAGTTTCCCAGAGATATCCTTAGAAGACCCACTCTTTGAAAACATAATGTCTTTCAGCATTCAGGAGAATTTCAGAAATGTTTCTTTTCCTTTTGATGTTTCTTAAACGTGATCTAAATTTAAGTATGTAGAATTGCTGTGGAAATTCTGTGCATTTTGGTGATGGGATCTTGCACCTGTGCTGCTGTCGCCGCTCTCTGTTGAAGTGCTTTTCTCTGACAGAATGGTGCAGATGTGAATGCCAAGGACATGCTGAAGATGACAGCTTTGCACTGGGCCACAGAGCACCACCATCGGGACGTTGTCGAGTTGCTTATCAAGTACGGGGCTGACGTTCACGCTTTTAGCAAGTTTGATAAATCGGCCTTTGACATAGCCCTGGAGAAAAACAACGCTGAGATTTTGGTCATCCTCCAGGTATAGTTCTTTTTATACTGGCCAGAGTAAACCTCAATAGAATTTTTTTTTTTTTTAGTGGGAATTGAATTGAAACTGAATTTTCCTCAGCTGGTCATGGTGGCATACCCCTGTAATCACAGAAGTCTGCAAGCCTGAAGCAGGACGATCACAAGTTCAAGGCCAGCCTGAGCAATTTAATGATGTAGCCCAGCCTGGCCTCAAACTTGTGGTTTGAGCCTCCTGGCTCAGCCTCCCAAGTGCTGGGACTACAGGCACACACCACCACGCCCAGGTCTGTTTTTAAAATTTTTATTAGTACAAGTTTGCAGTACATAATGATTACATTTATTGTGGGGAGTTGGTATGTGTACAGAGCACATTTTAATTCCTTTTATTTCCTCCTTACCAGCCAGGTGCAACACCACTGAGCTACATCCCCTGCCCTAGTTTCTTTTTTTTTCCCGTGTGTGTGCGTGTGTGTGCGTGTGTGTGTGTGT